GGGGGTGGCAAGCCCGCTGGTCGCAGCGCGACAGGGTGCGGGCCCGCGCCAGTCCGGCACCGCCTTCGCCGCGGGACCTCCGTTGATGTCTCTCCTCCTCTCCAGGAACATCACGTCCATGTTGCTGCTGGCTCAGGGTTCCAAGATTTGGCCCCGGCTCTCTCTGCTCAGACCCCGGGCTCCTCCTAGGACCTTGGGAGGGGAGGCCCTGGGTACGCGGTCCCGAGCCTCGTCAGGGCGGGGCTCCCCCCGAGGCCCGCGGCTGCACACCAGGCTGCTGGTCACTGCTCTGTTTGGGGCTGGGCTGGGCGGGGCCTGGCTGGCTGCCAAGACAGAGAAGGAGCAGCGGCGGCGGCAGCAGCGGACCGAGGCCCTGCGCCAGGCTGCTGTGGGCCAGGGCGACTTCAGCCTGCTGGACCACAGAGGCCAGCCTCGGTGCAAGGCCGACTTCAGAGGCCAGTGGGTGCTCATGTACTTCGGCTTCACCCACTGCCCGGACATCTGCCCAGACGAACTGGAGAAGCTCGTGCAGGTGGTGCAGCGGCTGGAGGCAGAGCCTGGGCTGCCCCTGGTGCAGCCCATCTTCATCTCCGTGGACCCGGAACGGGACGATGTGGCAGCCATGGCCAGATATGTGCAGGACTTCCACCCGAGGCTGCTGGGTCTGACTGGCTCTACCGAACAGGTGGCCCAGGTTAGCCGCAGCTACCGTGTGTACTACAGCGCTGGCCCCAAAGATGAAGACCAGGACTACATCGTGGACCATTCCATTGCCATCTACCTGCTCAACCCCGATGGCCTCTTCACTGACTACTATGGTCGGGGCAGATCAGCCGAGCAGATTGCTGACAGCGTGAAGCAACACATGGGCACCTTCCACAGCATCCTGTCCTGAACCACCAAAGCCTGGGCTGCTATTAAATTGGTACATTAATGGTGTGCTTGTGTGATCTGTCAGCACCCCATGGAGGCAGGGGGTGCAGGGGCAGGACAGCTCTTCTTTCTACACAGAGCAAGCACTTCTAAAGGTTTGGGGGAGGGTAGGTTAGGTGGCAAGACCACTTTATTAGACTGGGTGGGCTAGGAGGCAGCACTGGAGGGGGCGGCCCTCAGTACAGAGACAGGACTCCAAGCCCACACCTCCCTCCGCCCTGCCTCAGTGCTTCCTGTTCAAGGCTGGGCCATGGAAGGGGCTGCGTAGGTCTGGAAGCGCATGTGGGCCCGCTGGTGTGTGAGCAGTCTCAGAGACATGGTATCCATGGCCTCTTCCAGGCCTGGCTTCTGGGAGATCTCCACCGTGTAGTCATTGGCCTGCGGGAGCAAAGCATCAGCAGAGTCCAGGGCTACCTACCCCTCCCACGTGTCCTGGGCCACTCACCAGTTGCAGGGAGGCCAGCATGGAGCGACAGACCTCAAAGGCAGGCTGCCCGGCCACCAGCTCCGCAAAGGGACACCATTCATTGAGCTGGGGAAATCGTGAGACCACCTGGTCCCCATAGGTATGGATGTCAAAGGGCACATGCTGCTCCTGAACAGGGGACACTGACTTATTAGCAAAGGCTGGGGCCCTGGACAAACCCAAGAGGCCACTGTGCGATTCCTGAGGAGTGCCCGCTCTACCTGCTCCTGGAGCAGGGGCTGGATGGTGTCTTCCCAGTCTCTGATGCGCTGGCTCAGCTCTGTCTCCTGGACAAACTTCTGGGAGGTGGCAATGAACAGCTCCTGCAGGGGGGGGTCACTGGGCTCTCTACTTTGCACGTGAGGGCTTAGCATGTTCCTCTCAGTTCCCACCCTCTCTGACCCAGGCCTACCACATTCTTTCGAACCAGTTCCTCGTAGCTTGGGGATTTGGGCATGACCTCTGCATCTGAAAGGGCAAGCTGAGCTTCTGAACTGGCACCACACAGAGCCCTTCCCTCAGCACCCCTGCCTTCTCCCCCTCCCTCCCCCCACCTGCTAAGACCTACCCAGGTTGGCGGCTTCCCCAGGCTTTGCCCCTTCAGGCTCTGCATACCCTTCAGGCTCTAGGAAGTCATCTACAGGTACAGGAAGCTAGTCAGCTGGCTGCAGGTGCTCAGGTGCCCCCACCCCCATTACCCACCTGCCACACCGAGGTCCTCCAGGGACTCCTCCAAGGCATCCCCTTCTGCAGGCCACAACCTCTCCTCAGCCCGGGGGAGCCACCGCTCAGCCATCTGTCCAGAAAGAGAGTCCTCTGTGAGGACACTGTCACATTCCATCAGGGCCCGGTTGCTGCCCAGACTCTGGCCTCAAAGGTACTTGCCTCATTCCTCTGCAGTTTCCGGAGGGTTTCCAGCTGACTGTTCACATGCTTCCAGTATAAGACCTCCATGTCTATAGACACAGGCCTTGTGAGGAGTTCCCTCATCCCGCCCGGTCCGCCCAAGGACCTCAGGTAACCCCGGCAGGGGAAGTGGAGAAGAGACTCCCTAGCAGCCCCTTACCTGCAAAGGTTGGGCCCTTTCGCCTGCGCCTTCTGCTGTCAGCATGGTCAGCATCTGTGAAGAAACTGGGTCAGGCAGAGTGCATGCCAAGGCCTTGACCCCGCAGGGGTCGGGGGCTACTCACAGCACTGGAGGAAAAGGGTGCACCGCCTCTGCCCAGCACCACCACTCACAGGCAGCCAGGTACCACTGGTGGAAGTCCTGAAGTTTGGTGGCACCCTTCCTCTTGCGCTTCTGTCCTGGAGCCTCTTCTACACAAGGGGGCACAGAATAGGGCCTACCTGGGGACAGCCACAAACCATCTCAGGGTCAGGATATAGAGCCCACCCCTCTCTACTCCCTCCAATCCCAGGAAACTTAAGCAGCAGAGCCCCCCCAGTAGTTACCTTTCTTGAAGGGCTTAGAGTCCAGGGAATCAAAGGGGTCCAGGCTCTGCCAGGGATCTGGGGTCTCCTAAGTACAGAGCATAAGCAGATCCTGAGGGGAGAGAAGGGCTGCGCACTCCTTAAGGCAGATGCCCAGTGCAGTGAGAGCCCCGGGAGCTGCTGGCCACACTTAACCCAAGGTCAGAGGGTGGCACCAGAGGGAGAGGTAGCACGGAGCTGCAGGGAGGGTCCTCTAGTTTCTGGAAGGAATAAGAATCCTTGAGAAGGTATGTCAAGGGGCACAGGCTAAGCATGGGACACCTAGGTATTAAAGTCTGGCAGGAGCAAAGCCATGACAGATGCACATTCAAGGGCTCGAGAGCACTCTCACCTTCAGCCGGGACACGGGGTCTGGGGGCCTTCCTTGATCCCGCAGCATACAGGTCCTAGGCCCGGTGGCAGTCTACAAGGGAATAGCCCACAGGTCCCTCTCCTGCCTCTGTCCACCTAGTCCCTGAGTAGCCCAGCATCCCTGCACTTTGACCCATGTCCAAAAACCCTGGAAGGGTAGGAATAGGAGGGCAAAACTGGGGAAGAACAAGGAAAGGGATGGCACTGTCTAAAGGGAAATTCTTTTTTTTTTTTGTCAGCTTGAACTCAAGCCTGGGTACTGTCCCTGTGATGTTTTTGCTCAAGGAGACACAGCACCACTTCTGGTTTTTGAGCAGTTAATTGGAGATGAGTCTCACAAGGACTTTTCTGCCTGGGTGGCTTTGAACTGTGATCCTCAGATCTCAGCCTCCTGAGAATTACAGGCATGAGCCACCAAAGCCCAGCTAGGAAATACACTTTTTGTTGTTGTTGTTGGTCATGGGGCTTGAACTTTGGGCCTGGGCACTGTCCCTGAGCTCTTCAGCACAAGGCTAGCACGCTACCACTTGAGCTGTAGCTCAATTTCCGGTTTTCTGGTGTTTAATTGAAGAGTCTCATGGACTTTCCTGCCTGGGGTTGGCTTTGAACTGTATTCCTTAGACCTTAGCCTCTTGAGTAACTAGGATTATAGGCGTGAGACACCAGCACTTGGCAGAAATGTACTTTTTACCTGACCTATGTAACTTTAATCACTCTGTATGTCACCTTTATAGTAAGAATAAAAAAAAATGGAGCCAGGCAGTGCCAGGCCCAGAGTTCAAGCCCCATGACTGACACAAAAAAAAAAGAAAGAAAAATATTAACAACAATAAAAACCTAGAAGGGATGAAATATTTAAATAAAGGACTAAAAAGCAAAACAAAATAACAATAATTTTGGATCATTTTTACAAAAATACCCACCATAGAAAACTTATTTTAAAATACAAAAAATGGGACAGAGCATGAGAAACACTGGTCCAGAATAAATGCTAGCATTTTACCCTTTATGTACTGGGTTGGTTTTTAGGATCTCAAGTCTGTCTGGTGTGGGCAGTTCTGGGGTTAAACCCAGGGCCTCTCTCCCACTAAGTAACCATGTTACCACTAAGCTATGCCCTCAGCCCAGGGTTTTCTTTTGAAAAAGCTAAGAATTTCTTAGTGGTACACTACATAGACTCTACCTTTGGGCATGAAGAAAAGCAGTACAGACTTCTCCTGACAGCCTATTCAGACAGGAGTGAGCCTTGAAGAAAAGCTGGCAACCCAGGAACCTCAAGCCCCATAGAGCTCAGACCCCTAACCACGAACCCACTCCTCTGAGGAGGAGCAGCTGCTCAGCGCAGAGGGGACACTAGAAGCAGGGGACACCGAAGGACTGGCTGGCTGGAGGGCAGCCAGGAACCTGAAGAACACACGGCCCGATGTAAAAAGACCAGAGGCCAACGTGCGCAGCACGGCGGGCAGCTCTGTCCAGGGCAGGGCTTCTCGGCTGACAGCCTGGGTTGAGGCCCCTGCGTCCCACCTGCTGCAGGGTCCTTGGGTCAGCAGGCTCCAGAGCAGCCGTGGGGGCTGCGGCCTCTGGGAGCTCCACGGCATCCTCTGTGTCCTCATCCCCGCTGCTGGGTGGCGGGCCCTCTGGAAAGGAGGCTGGGCAGGAACCAAAAGAGCAGTCAGCCTGAGGAGCTGGGACCAGACGAGAGCCGGAGGCTGGTCCGGGAGGTGGAGTCCAGCCCGGCCCGGGAACCTGGCAGGCCAGCCCTCTTGGAAGCTTCACTTGTGGTGTGTGGAGATCTACTGGGGCCTCAGACTCCACTCGCTTCCTCACACCAGCACACTTTGTTTA